TTTGCTCCAACTTCCCTCTTGCCAGAATCCTGGCTTTGTATACTCTCTCTCTTTTCTCTTTTCACTGCCTTTTACAAGTTGTGTTTTCTGCTCATTTTTAGTAACACCTACCGCTCCTAAGGCCTAAAGGAAAATATACTATGGCTGAAACCTGAAATTATTACCCAGTGTTTAAAGCAGTCTGTTATTCTTTTCCTTTCTTTTACTACTTTGCCTCAGCCTGCTCTTTTATTTATTATTTTAATAATAGTTTTGTTGAGATGTAATTCACATATAGTTCACCTATTTAAAGTGTACAATTCAGTGGTTTTCAGTATATTCACAGTTGTGCAACCGTCACCACAATTAATTTTAGAACATTTTCATCACCCCAAAAGGAAATCCCACACCCATTAGCAGTTACTCCCCATTTCCCCCAACCCTCCCAGCCCTTGGTAACCACTAATCTACTTTGTTCTATTCTGTACATTTCATATAAATGAAATCATATATGATCTTTTGTCACTGACTGCTTTCTTTGAGCATGATGTTTTCAAGGTTCATCCATGTTTTAGCATGTATCAATACTTCCTTATGGACTAATATTTTAGTATATAGATATACCCCATTCTGTTTATTCATTGATCAACTAACAGATGTTTAGGTTGTTTCTACTTTTTGTCTATTGTGATTAGTTGCTATGAACATTCATGTTACAGGTTTTTAGTAGACATGTTTTCAAATTCCTTAGGTTGAATACCTATTCATATCTTTTGCCCCATTTTTTTATTGCTTTATTTTTATTTTTATTATTGAGTTGTAAGAGTTATTTACATACTCTGGAAACTGGACCTTTATTAGATACATGATAGCAAATATTTTCTCCCATCTTCTGTCTTGTCTTTCACTTTCTTGATGATGTCCTTTGAATTTAATGAACTGTTCTTCAGTTTTTCTGAACTTGTTGAAGTTACTTTTGGCTAGTATTTTTTTGTTTATTTTTATGTTTATATTTTAAAGTTTTCCTTTGTGTATATTCAGCATCTCCTACATTAGATCATTTATGTCCCTGATTGAAGATCGAAATTGCCATTTCCTAGTCTCACAACATTTAAAAATACAAATTATAAACTTAAAATAACTGATACAGGATTTATATCCAGAATAAAGAACTCCATAAAATTAAGAATGGAGGCCAAGCGCAGTGGGTCACGCCTGTAATCCTAGCACTTTGGGAGGCCAGTGTGGGAGGATTGCTTGAGGTTGGGAGTTTGAGACCAGCATGAGCAAGAGTGAGACCCTATCTCAACAAAAAATAGAAAAATTAGCCAGGCGTGGTGGTGCATGCCTGTGGTCCCAGCTGCTTGGGAGACTGAGGCAAGAGAATTGCTTGAACCTGGGAGTTTGAGGTTGCATTGAACTATAATGACGCCACTGTACTCTAGCCAGGATGATAGAGCGAGACCCTGTCTCAAACATAAGTAAGTAAATAGATAAATAAAAATTAAGAATGGAAAAGAATCTGATAGAAAAATAGGCCAAAAACCATGAACTGGTTTCACAGACAAGGAAACATGAGTCACTAATAAAATATGAAAAGATACAGCATCAGTGGGGCCACCTTAGAATGCCTGAGTGGCTCTGGATACTGCTCAGTCTCTGGGATCTTAAGGCCAAACTGGGCTTTTGATCAGAACTAGAAAGTGTAGGAGGTCTTCACTCTCCCAGTAAATCCATTCTGATCCTGCCTTGGATCTCAATCTTCAGAACTCTTACATACATAAAATTTTCAGCATTTCCAGGAATTTTAAGAAAAGCTAATATGGGACTTCTCAATTTGATCTAAAAGTCTCGGTGTGAATGTTATACTTATTTTGTGGTAATGTCATGTGCAGTGCAAGACATTTAGCATTGTGGCCTTTGCTGGCTGGATGAATAACCCTTCAGTAATTAAGACCACTTAGTATGAATCCATACATTTCCATATGCCCCCTACAGAGGTATTATCACCCCACTCGAGAAAGAAGATAATAACTTTATTTCCTTTGAGTTCCAGATTGTAAACTGAGCACCTTGTTAGGTTGTTTGAGAATCTTATTTCTGTTCTCAGAAGAGATTTCTAGGAATCCCAGAAATACTTTACTTTTGTTCTGTGGTTGTCTGGCCCATTCCTTTCAGATCAAGATCTCATCTCTTGGAATATTGCATACCACGGAAACAGTGTCACATAGCTCAGTCTGGCACATTTTGGATTTGGCTCTCCCATTCCCTGGCCTCTTCCCTGATACCGTGCCCCTTGAATGGGCTCCACAGAGGCTGTTTCGGTGCCACAATAAGGTTACCAGGACTCTTTTTTAAGCTTACTAATTTTTTTCAAGTGTGGGCAGCCCCCTATTAATAAGTTGCATTCCAAATTGTATGTGTAGGTTGGTTATTTGGACTCTGGAACATGTTTTGCCATGGAAACCATTTAGTACATAGTCAGGTTACCAAGGAAACTGGATGTACTGAAGGAGTCCATCAAGCCATAGTGTCTGCCACGTATATAACCACATTTTAAGGGACAGAACCTAACCCTTTTTCTTCCTCTTTGGTGGCTGTCAATGGGACAGGAGCCAGCAATGATCCAGCCACAATAGATTAGACCTGCTCAGTTCACCCAATCGAAGCCCATATAGCAGGAGGCTCCAAAAGCCCAGGCAGATCTTTTCTCTGTAAAGTATCAGTGCAAGGCAAACAACAGCTATGCTATCACTCAATTCTGGGTTGTTACCTGGAATAGTGCTAAGTGACTTAACCTCATTGTTTATGAAACCCAGGAGAACTGGAGCCAGGGTGGGCACAGTACAGATGAAGTGCTTTCCTTTCTTCCTCATGCTTTTAAGTGTCCTTGCAATAAATGATCATCTCTCTAAGTAGTCTGTGTGTATCCAGTATCACCCAGAGAAAGCTGACCAGCCGAAACAGGATGTAGGGCCCGTCCACAAAAGCTTATGACCCCATGATCTAGGAGGTTATTGAGTGTTACTAGCAAGGCATTTCCCTGTTATGTTTCTCATCATGGTAAAGAAAGGAATTAAGAGAATGCTAGGCCCATTGTACTGTTCTAAGGACAAGGAATGGTAGCAGCATTGTTATTGTAATGTTTTTTTTTTTGAGTCTTTTTTATAATAAAGTAAGCTGAGTATAACATAAATGTCTATTGTGTCCATTTATAACCAGAGCCTGCCCTGTTCCCTTGACATGGTGGGTTATAATTGACATGCTGAATACTGGGTGCATAGTACTCAGCTCTTTGGTGTAACTTCCTAGGAACTGTCACTTCATGTCCTCCTAGTCAGAGTGATGGCTTCCTTCCTTCTGTGTTGTCATCACCCTTTGGGGCTTCCTTATTTTAGTCTTTTATTTCCTATCTTTATATGCTCACTTTGTATCAGTAATTTATATTGTGCTTCCTACTTTACAAGGTGCATTCTCAACTATAATCTTTGCAAGCTAGATAGGGAAGGTATTATCATCTCCCTTTGCCAGAGTTAACATTAATACTCAGATACTTACAGGACTTGCTGACCTCTCACATCCACTCCTGGCAGATCTGGAGCTAGAACACAGGGCTTCCAGGGCTTGGTGTTCTCGTGCTCTTTCCACCGTATCATGCAGCACACCTGTACTGTTGCTGCTTCCTTTAGTTCTGTTTGTTCCTTGATAGGTGGTGGTTAGTTCTCTTCAGTGCTGAACATCTCTAATAGAGAACCAGCCTTCCCTCTCTGGCTGTTTTAGTCATTATTCTTGGCACTTTGGCCATACCTTATCAACAAATTGGCACCTTAGGACAAGCTCCTGCCATAGCATATTTATTAGTGAATTGGTCCGTCCCTTTGCATATTTTATAAATGCCTCTAGGTATTCATCTTGATGGTTAATAATCATATTTTGTTTTATATAGTGTCTTTTATTCAGAAGCATTTATTATCTTCCATTATATGGAGAAGGCTAACTGGTTAAATTACTTGTCTAAAATCTTAACAGTAACAGCAGAAGAAGGGAGTAAGGAACTAATTTCTTTGAAGAGTTCATGTTAACCAGACACAGTACTAGGTGCTTTTACGTATGTGATCTCATTTCATTCTTGCACAAACCCTATGAAGTAGGTGATGTTTTATATCTTACAAGTGAAGAAACTCTAGTTCAGACAAGCTAAGTGACGTACACTGCAAGTGAAAAGTAGAAGGAATGTTAAAATCTAGCTGCCTCTGATTCCAAGGCTGATATTTTACCTATGGTCCCACGTGGCTTCCTCTTGCCCTCTGCAGGGTATCTTATAGTAACAAATGAAAGAACACCTTGGACACTTGATGATACAGTGGGGAAGGGGGAAAGTTGGAGTACTGCCGTTTCTTTTTCTTGACGACAGCCAGAAAGGAGTGAACTTACCCCTGTCTCTTTTCTCTAAAGATCATGAAACTGTTTGATATAAGTTTGAATTTGTAACCAAGTGGAACTAAGGTAAACTAACTGAGAGCACTCTGTAAGTGGTTTAGTGACTGTTAAAGAAGAGCCGGTTAATAGACATCACTCACAGCCAAGCAGTTAGAAAGTTCTGTGCTTCTCTCTTGCAAAGGCAGTGAGACCTGCCCAGCTGTTCAAGTCAGGACTGCTGTGTTCTGGCCCTGGTTTCTGCCACTCAACTCTAGCCATGTGACCATAGGTTGGTAAGTTACCTCCACCTATAAAACGTGAGACTTGAACTGGATTGACCATCCCAGCAACTACCATTTCATTCTTTATCTTTAAGCAATGTATTTAATTTTTAAAAAATCTTTCAAAAACAACATAAGAATGATGAAAACCCTGTCATTTCTCAATATCCTTGCCAGTGACAGTGTTTGATAGGGATCCTAGAATTAATTGCTCCCAGAGGTCCTACTCATTTAAGGAAAATAGGGGGCCAGAAGGCAGTGTTCTAATCAAATTTGTGTGTAAGATGGTTATTGATAGCAGTTAATGACTGGTGAAGAGTGTTGAGGTTCTTTAGTGATACCTATGATTTTTGGCTTTACTCCATAGGTTTTAATGTAAACATACATGAGGTTTTAAAATTTCTCTGGGACACTGCATCTGCAGCTCTTTTTGGTGACTCAAGATGATGCGTGGTGCCTCGCGTATGCCTGCATGCTCCAGCCAGATTGGCTACTCTTGAGGCATCAAGTAACTAGAAAAAAAGGATAAAGGCATCTTTTTTTACTCTACAGTCAAATTTTTTTCTATAATAATTCTTAAATAGTGATCTAAAACTAGTGACTAATTACTAATATTTATATACCAAACATGAGAATAACTATAAATTAGAGCAAGATAGTTAGAAACATTTTGATAAAATTTGGTCCATTTCTTAATAAAAATGTTTAGCATGTGCTACCTAAACCACCTCTGGATTTCCCTAAATACAAAATTCAGTTCAAATCTTTTCTTACAGAGGAGAGTTTCCAGGTCTTTCTTGAAACGTCAGACCACTTTTGGTATTTGTAGTCTTCACACACAGATTTTCCCACCTTTCATGAGGACAGACGCCTCACCAGAGAATGGGCAGGTTTGCATGGTGTGATGATCAGATTATTAACACGGCACTGTGAATAAGTGATAAACCTAATCCTGCCAGGGACTGTTTTCATTTTAAAAGAATGATTTTAAAAGGAGTAATCCAAATTTGTCATGTTAGAATATATAAGAGCAAACTTTCTTAGTAGGGATGCTTTCCTGAGGCCTTTAAACCATAGCAATCTGTCTACAGCACCGCTTGTCTGTGCTCAAAAGAGCCACACCTGAAGTTTAGCAACCCACCTTTTAAAGGTTTCAGACTCTTGCTTTAAAGTTTAAATTTAGAATGAAGAGCCATGCACCTGTGAAGGCTTTGACCACAGGCCCTCTGCACTGGGCCTCATGTGCAACAGCACTTTGGAACTTTCTTGCCATTTTTAAAAGGCTTTCCTGAGTGGAGCTTTCAGGACCACTGCTGTATTCTGGGCAACTTTCTTAGCTCTGGCCAGTGGCTTCAATACCATATTTGATTGCTCTCTAGGCCACCCCTTCCCCAGGGAATAGGTCCCTCAACTCCAAGGGATCATTCCCCTCCCCCAGGTCTAGCTTCAGTCTTTTTTGGTTTTGGTGTAGGGAGGAGAAATTGCAGGAGCTGATGGTAAGAAGGAGCTGGGAGGCTTCACAGGCTTTACTGGGAAGGTGTCTGGGGTGAGGGCCTGGGAAGGCAGGAACAGGCACCGGGGAAGAATTGGAGAGAGAGCCAAGGATGAGAAGCTGCTCACTCACTCTGAAGTCATGCTATTACGCCAACAGAAATATTGGTATTTTGGTTTGTAAAAATAGCATGGTACCAGAATACCACAACTAGTAGTCACTAGTGAATTTCTCTTGCTGAGCTAAGGAAGGAAAGGCTTCATAGAAGAGGTATGATTTGAGCTAAATCTTAAGGGACAGTCATCAGCTACTAGGCATCAAGCCCTAAATGCAGATTCAGTTCACTTGCCTGGTGATTATATCAGGAGTTTTACCTAAAGTTTATATACTATTCCTTGCCAATAGTTCAGTCTTTAGTTGGGGGTTAGGAGATGGGTGGATAGTTCTGTTCTGCAAAGGCATCCTCTGCTCCATTCAGCTATATCTCTTGTATCCCTGTTTATCTTTGTAATAAAAACTTGCAGAAATCACTTGAGCAGCTTTGTGTGTTATTCTTAGTGGGTAACACTTTGATACATTAACACCTCTTAACATTTCACTTGGAGTTGTTTTTTTTCTTCCACCATGACTTTAGCATTTAAGCATGCAAAGACATATTAGAATTTGGGATCCTGGTCCTTGAATGCTCCTCTTTACAGAAGCTTATTCATAAATTGGTTTTTTTTTCTAATACATTCTCTTTAATAGGCATTAAATTGGTTCACTGTTTGCCACATCTGTTTTCTGAGCTGCTAGTTGGTGTATTTGAAAATATAAAATGTGTAACAACCACTTTTGCTATGTAAAAGGCTTTTCTTCTGCCTTATTCTGTTCACATAAATGTGGATTTCTTGACATTGCATTTTGAAACAGTGTCTCAATTCATCTTGATTTTGGTCAAGACTTTGGAATCAGTAGTCCAAATCTGAGCCCCTTAAGTTGCTATTTAATTGAAACTGTATTAAAAAAGTAATACATTTAACTTGGTATTATTGTCTTTGAGACCTCTAAATCAACTTTGTTGAACACACTGAATCAGAATTTTGCTGTTTTATTAGGTGGCTTTCTGGAACCTCAAAGCAGTGTTTCTCAAAAGTATGGTCAGTAGATCACCTGTGTTAGCCTTGGGTACTTGTTAATAGTATAGATTCCTTGAACTCATCCCAGACCTTCCGAATCAGAATTTGGGGGGCTTAGAAATCTGCATCTTTCACAAGTTTCATAGGTAGTTGAGTGCACACAAAACCTTAAGAACTCTGCCGTGAAATTGCCTTAGTACTTATTTGGGAGTTAGTACCATACAGTTTTCTCCAGGACATACATGATCGAGCTTTGTCCTTTCTACATTCTATCTTTGATTTGAATTCTATAAACAATATTCCTAGGAAAGGGTAGGGTCATATTTTCCCTGATATTCAACAGAATTACAGAGAAATACTCCAGCAATATTATCAAAGCCCAAGTCATGGTATCTTTTTCTGTCTATTGTGTGTGGCTCTTTGGAGATATACCAAAGCAACTGACCTACACATGATGCCTGGAAATCACTTTCCTGGGTCATAAATCACTATTTAGTACATTAGACATTAGCATATAGCTCATCTAAACTCTGGAGTCTTATAATAATAGTAATTAACATAATGATACTTTGTGCTCCTTAAGTGTCTTTAAACTGTAGGCCTTAAAGTGCAATATTAAACAAAGTATGCAACACCTTGGCAAGAGAGGTCAATGTCAAGTTCCTCATTTTATAGATTCAAAACCTGAAGCTGAATATAAAAGTTTAGCTTAGACACTTCTCTTGAATAATGACACATTGAACTTGGAGAAATGGGAATATTTCAAAAGAAACATTTATGATTTTGGTGGTGGTAGGGTGGTAGCTATTTTGGCATTGCAGGGTATATCCTGAGTGAAAATAGCCATATTTGGTTACTTTAATTAATGCCTTTAATAACTAGAGGTATTTGGCTGGAAAACACCATCTTTTTTCTTACTAGCATTTCTGTGTATTAAATCCCATATTCCTTCTGGCTCCTTCATTTGCCTTTCCTTTCCTTGGTCTTTTATCTATTTTTAATTTATAGACTCAGAGAATGTTCAAAATAACCACCACCACAACAAACTTACAGCTACATAAGGCACCTTAAAAATCATGTAATCAGGCCCCTTCCTTTTATACGACAAGATATTTGATACTAGAAAAGGTTAAATAAAAGATTTACTCAAAATGGCCCTGAAAGTATGGTATGAGAGATATGCCAACAGTGGAACCATTAACAGAGTTCTTGTAAGGGTATGTTTTATGTCTTTTCTTAAGTTTATATTAAATACAATTTAAAGTTGAGAATCAGTTGAAGTCTTTCACAGATCCTGTTTTATCACCACTTTTCTTCCAATTTTTCCTTCTTTTTTATTCTTTTTTTTAACTTAAACTTTTTACTCTATATTATTTCCTTACTGTTCCTACTTTTAAAATTTCCTTCCATTCACTTTATCTGTATTCTTCCTATCATCTCCCTTCTCTCTCTTTTGCCTTTATAAACTGATAACTGTTGCAACCTAAGTAATTAAGCATTCCAGAAAAATAAAACTGAGGAAGTTTTTTAAAATCATGAAGGTTAACACATTAGAAAAAGCAGGCTAACTTAAAAGATAAAGAAAGAAGTACTTGGCAACTTCTGGAATATTTGATGATGGCTTCTTTTTTTTTCCATGTCAACAGCTGTAAAAGTAGATCGTTCTTTTTTACCCTCCGTTTGTTCAGCTGCAAGTATATGTTTAACTAGAATAGCTCTTCCAGGTGATTTTTGGTGGCTTTTGCCTTACAAATAAAATGAATAGATAATGATTAATAATTTGAAGAGAAAGGGATGGGAAATTTATTCAGCAAATAATTGATCGATACAGGGGATCATCTCCTTATAAAATACACTGTATTTTAATGCAACCAGATGAAAATCCTGGTGATTTATGCAGCATTGTTCCTCATCTTCATAATAAGATGACTGAGCTAAAGGTGCTGAGATAATCAATGTAAAAGTGCTTGGGAAAAATGGAAAGGGCCATATAAAAGCCTTGTGTTAATGATTTCTTACTCAAAACAGCTCAGCTCTGTAAATATTTGTTGGGAATCTTAAAACAAATATTTGTGTACTAAGGGCCAGGTGCTGTAGATACTGAGCTCTAAGAAGAAAAATATAGACAGTGAGGGGAAAAATGGCCTATTCCTTCTTTACTCCTAGGAAGTAAAAAAGTAGAGGGGTAAAAACACTACTGTATTTTAAAGTTCCCCATTCTAACCACCAGATGGGGCTGTCAGTCATAGGCAGCTGAGTTGCTGTTCCAGAAGGCTTCCCATTTGATTGGAGGAGGTGGAAATCAGTACTAAGTGTGAAATTAGTTGTGTATATGACTAATTCATAACACAGGATACCTGTATTTTAGGAAAAACATTTATCTCTATTCACTAGGTCACTTCACTATTTTAGACTTTTTTTTTCTTTTTTCTTTTTTTTTGTCTTTTCATCATCTCTTATGACTTGCACACTATTTTAGACTTACCCCCTCTATGCGAGAAGAAAATTAGAGTAAATTAATTAAATGTGTTAATAAAATAATGCTAGTTATTAGTAATAATTCCTTTTCTGATGCTTGCAAATTATTTTGGGGGTGAATTCAGATATATTTTTCTGAACATGTGTACCCAGAGTTAAGATTTAGAGTGAGAAAGGTTATTTTGGGGTTTTTTTCTGCCTGTAATCTTGTCTTCCTAGTTAATTTCTACTACTCCTTCAAAATGATCTCAAATGTCACTTCCTCTCTGAAGTATTTCTTAGTACCCTTCTACCAAATGGAGTTAATAATTCCCTTTTCTGTACTCCTATATGGCTGTCTGTGCTAAATAATGATTTTTATAATATTGAATTAGAATTATTTTTCTATCTCTGCCACTATCTCTGCCCCTAATTAGAAGATTCTTGAGACTATATAATATTTATATATTATTTATATTTCTTTATCCACTGCTGACTATAAAACCTGGCAGGTATTAGTCACAGAATAAGCAAGTTATAAATATTTGTGAATTATCATTTTTTATAGACTAAGGAATACTAAGTTATTAATAGTTCCTGAGTAGTTCCTCCTAGCATTATAAATAAGCTGTCAAGAGTTGTCCTATGAAATATTGATTTTAGAAAACTTTTTGAAAGAAATATTTACCTTAAAAGAGACAGGATAATTGAATTAATTGCAAGGACCATACAAGGCTTACCTTACTATAGGTCTGCTGTCAATGTAGCAGAATTTGGAATTTGGAAGACTTATTTGGAATTTCAATTTTGTGACCTGTTTGGAATACATTTTTTGTTGTTTGAATTGAACAGATAGACCTTTTTCTTAAATGAGTATAAGTAGTCTAGGGACATCTTTGAGCAATAGGCCAAATTTGATTCTATATTACAAATTTTTAAGTGGAACTTAATGGGAAAATATGATTCACCCCATTAAATTCAATTGATAGAAACCTGTTTCATAGCCAACTTTTCTTTAAAGTGAATTAGGTATTTCTCTTTAAAAAACAAATGTATTTATTAGTCTATAATTTTTAGACTTCTGTGAAAATGAAAATAGTATGCTCTTTTACTTAAAGAAAAATGTATAATTTTTTTTCATTATTAAAGTAATATCCCAGTTATTTCCCTATGTATGGAAGATTTTCATCTCTCTAATCTTGACTGGAAAAATTTTTCCTGGGCAGTTTGGAAAACTAAAGAAAAATACTTCATCATCTTCAGCAAACATTTATCAAGTGCCTACTATGGGACAGTTAGATTACCAGCCCCTTGGAAAAAACCCACTTATCTAGAGGGGAGATCCTGGCAAGCCCCTGGAAAGGAGCCTTGTTCCCTACATTCAGAGAAAGGAATTCTGAAATAGCTGAAGACCATATTCTAATAATGCAGTTGGCTAGTTTGTTGTATAATGCATGGCAAAGTTGCCCAGCTTATTTTTAAACCCATAGCATATATGAAACAACAGATTAAAGGCGGGCAGGCTGCTATGGATAGACATGCTTTGACAGCAGCAAAGAAAAGACAGCTACAACAAAACCAAAGATAAAATATATTAACTAATAATCCCATATCATCAATTAAGTGTGTAGGCAAATTCATTAATTCTGTTTGGCAGATTATTTAAGGATATGAGCTATGGGGTCAGACAAACTTGGGTTCTAATCCCTGATATATCACTTACTAATGATGTGATCATTATTAATTAATCTGTCCATTCAAGCTGAGCTTTTGTGTCAGAAATAACATGAAAACAATTTTTAAAAACCAGAAAGGTATCTATCACAAATATAACTTAAAGTTAACATCCTTTTTTATATAAATTAATCAGAAGAACACTTAAAATCCTAATAGGTAAAAGAACAAAGAATAATGTCTTTCAGTTTACAGAGGAAGAAATAAAACAACAAATGAACATGGAACAATGTTCACCCTCACCTAATGATCAAAAAATTCAAAATAAAACAACAAAATACTTGCGTCAGGTTTAAATCAGCAAGATAGTAAAACTGCACAAACAAACTCTAAATGAAGAGACTAACATAAGGAGTAAAGACAGAGATTTAAAGGAAAAACAAAAATGACTGTCTAATGTTCACTGTAACAGGAAAGTTAAAAAATATTGATATATACACTGTTCTCTTAATAAGGCAGCTCTCCACTTTATGCCTCACAGTGGACTAAAACTACCAGCAGCAAAGGTGGTTTTAGAGTGGGACTGTCTGTCACCTTTCTGGGTCTCTGTGCTTTTCCCAGTATATGGATTCCTAGGAGTGTTCATCTCAGCATTGACAACATCCAAGCTTAAATTTGTAGTCTCCATTTCTTGGACCATTCTGCTTTCTGTCTCCTTCATTATTTGGAAGTCAAATTCTTAGTCTTTCAATGTTATAAAAAGACAGTATAATATAGCCTGAGAATTCTGCTTGACTTAATGATCCTACTTGCCTAATGTAGCTTTTGCCTGCATTATTATTTATTATTGCATGATTTACACTTTGAATTTTTACATAGGGATTGTGGGAGGTTTTTTAAATCAGAAAAACATTTTAAGTTGGCAGAGTAGAAAATTTTTGTTCATTCTTATTAATGCCTTTGTCCTTTCTTTCTCTGTTTGAAGTGATCGCCAATGGTTTAAGCTGTCTGGTGGCCTCAATTCTGCTTTAGTCCATGCCTGGAAATTTTACTGGTATGAAAAGCATTTTTTGGAGCTTTAACATCATCAACAAAATTCTATTTTCACTTGAATGGATAAAGGAAAAAAACATTTGATCTCAAATGCCTACATTCTGAGGGAATTCATTTATGTCAAGGCATTTCAAGAGTCTCTGCTTGTTTTTAAAGAAGCAGTGTAAAGTATAACTATACATTTATTCAACCAACCTTTATTGAGTATCTATCACATACCAAGCACTCTGCTAACACTGTTTGGGCCAGAGTGGGAGGTTATGGAATATGGATAAAGATGTCCAATCCTCAAGAAGAGTAGAGTCTACTGGCAGAGACAAGCATGGAAGTAACTAAGTAGGATGGTGTGATGAATTTTGTAATGGAGGTGTGCCCACAGAACCACAGGAGCCCAGCAGAGAGAGCTGCAGGCCCTGTCTGCTAGGGGGTCCAAGAAGGACTCATGGAAAGGGTGGCATCTGAATAGGACCTTGAAGGAATACTATAAGTTTTTCTGGAGGTGACGGAGGGGATGTACATTCCAGGCAGAAGGAACATAGGAACTAGGCAAGGAGCAAGAGTGTGCTGGCATTTTCAGGGCACTGTGAGTAGACCAAAGTGCATGTTTAATCATGTGTGATCCTGATTGTCACTCAATTACCAGAATTTAGTTAGATAAAAGGTAATAATATAGAATGTTTTTACATACTTGAAGAAACCCAGGAAATGATTGGTGTTTAGTATGTTCTTTTGTGCTGGACTTACCATATGTCTCGGTGATAGCTGATGCCCCTCTGGATCCTTTAGACACCTATCCAGCTGTATTGATGTCTCTTGTAACACATTGTGTTGAGAGCATTTTCTGCTATTCTCTCAGCCACAGTGTTGGGCTACAGAGGCAATAATCAAAGGAAGCCCACATTTGTGCACCTGTGCATAGTCATCATCCACACATTCCCCTACTTGTGCAACACACACAGTAACACGAATATGGTTTTTTTTTTGTATTCCCTTCCATTATTCCTAATAAACAGTCAAACTCATGGGAGGTACTTTCTAAATATTTGGTGGTGCTTTTTTGGAGGCAAAAGCACTAGCATCTAGCATATGCAGATATTACATACACATTTATCCAAAACTGAATTAAGTGAACATGGAGAGGGGACACATACGTTGTTTTTCAAAATAACAAGTAAGTAGGTGGGACTTAGTAACAATTAGTGAATATGAGCAAATCAGTAAAGGATATGATTTGGTGGGTGTTAGAGATAATGGATGAATGGGAGAGTTTGGAAAGTATAGAAACTTGTGGTCTGTTTTAGATCACAATTCTTTGTTGTCCAGAATCTTTCTGGTACATGAAAGATTTCTACTATCCATGCTTTTAAAACATACACACACACACACACACACATACACACACACACACACACACACATATGGCATCATTTAGTCAGATTTCTGGAGACTACTGCAAAGGTAAACTACAAGGTAAGGTTCTCTGTGAATTTATTAATGATTAATTGTGATGGTCCCAGGTTTTCTGATTATGCAAGGCCAGCTTTCCAACAGATTCCCATTACAGGAAAGATGCATAACTAAGAAATTGTTTAAATGAGCCAGACATCTTCAGGGAATTGTGGGTAGGCAGTTTTCTTTTTAAGTGGCTTATAAAGCATTTGAAGAATGTCATTGTGGAGCAGAGAGCACATGCCCAACCATTGCCCATTTTGGGGGAGTTGGCACATTCTTGTTTTGAGTTGCCTGAACTTCAGAGCCACTCTGTGGCATCAAGAGTTCTGGTGGGGAGGGTCATGGGTTCTAGTTCTGGAGAAAGCCAATGTTTCACTCAGGGATTGAGCCTATTTCCAGTCCAAATGACTCCAGAGCTTGGGAGTGGGGATAGGGGCAAGAGTTGGACTGGGAGTAGGTGGAAAGCAGATTAAAGGTAGGCCCTCAAGGAAATTCTAGTTTATTTTCCCCATTTGAGAGTCTCTTGTTTGGTCCAACCTCCCAAAGGACCAAAGTTCCTTCTTCCTTTTATTCTGGAACATCTTAGAACATAAACTGTTCTTCCACTTTTCAAGCAAGCGTTATCCAGAGCTCTCTGGCAGACCTGTCCAGGATCTTACCCTGGACCCCCTTAAGCAGTGTTGAGGCCCTGCATTCCTAGTACAAAAGGGAGCACAAGCAAGTGGGTATGTCTTTTTTGGCACTTGTCCCCCGCCAGTTTGCTCTTCTGCAGGCAGAGAGTCTTGCACAGCAGTTAGTGAATGCCAAGCTGGCACAGCTGCAGCTGATTTAACCACTCATCTGTTGAGTGAGGCACTGTTTCCATTTTGCAATTAGGGTAAACTGAGGGATGAGATCTTTAGTTATTTGATGTAGAGCCAGAGATGGACTCTGATAGATCTAGGACTAAACATTTGGACATCCTTTTATAATGCTTTCAATTTCAAACATAATTCACTGTTTTATACTTTTCCCATGCCCTCCATTAGTGTAAATTAAAATTTTAGCTACTGTGACCATCTCTTCAAACCAATCATTAATTTCTAGAATGAAGACCAGTTATTTCTAGTGAAACCTTTTGAATTTATGATCAAGTGACTAAGAGTTGTAATTGTTTCAATGGAAATTATTCAGAAACTTGAAATGTCATAGTTTGGCTTTTTTCATGCTCCCTCCAGTGGGTGTTTAGGCCCAGGTGAAGAGAGTACCATCTTTGGGCTCTGAAGTGCATGACTCACACCTGGGCAGTAAAAATAAAGAAATATACTCAGCTTTCTGTGGAAGGATGCTTGTGAGAAACCAGAACTTGCATAATGGTTAAAGCAGAGACTCCAAAGTCAGATAGACCTGGGTTTGAATCCTACCTCCAATACTTAGAAGCTAGGTATTGCTGTGCAAGTTCCTTAACCTCTGATAGCCTCAGTTTTGTCTCCTGTAAACTGAGCATGAGGATAGTACCTACTTCACAGTCGTGAGGATTAATTGAGTTAAAACATGTATAACTTAAAATAGTGCTGGCATATACTACTATGCAGAGCTAGACCCAGTGAATGATAGCTCTTCCTAGCTCGGCCGACTCTGTACCAGGCTTCTAACTAAATGCTGTTGTGCACATTACCTCATTTCATTTTACCTACCAGCCAGCCAGGTAATCCTCTTCCTTGCACAGCTAGAACACTCTTAGTTGAACATTTGAATTTTTAAGCATCTTGACTGAATATGACACTGCATTGGTGACATTTTGATAGCTGTCATTGCATGGTTTAGTTCCAGCATCTTTCAGCACATTCAGAAGCATCAACCTTTACATGTTGGGGCTTCTCCAACAGCAATTATAGCCACAAGTGAAGAAAAGCTATACATGTTCCCATAAAATATCATCGAGATTTGTGTCATAGGCCTCTGGTGACAAAGACATGTTTAACTGCTAGATGTCAGCTTTTTTTTTTCCCCTTCAGATAAAATTAAACTATGGAGCAACCATTCAATCCATAAGTGTAAGAATAAATTGGTTTTTCTGTCACAATTCTGTATAAAATCAAAACTGGTACCAAATATCTTTATTTATAAACATTTTTTCTTGCTGATTTGCTCGAGTTCTTTGTAGATTCTGGTTATTAGCCCTTTATCGGATGTATAGCTTGTGTATATTTTCTCCCATTCTGTAGGTTGTCTATTTGCTCTGTTGATTATTTCCTTAGCTGTGCAGAAGCTTTTTTAATTTGATCAAGTCCCATTTGTTTTTGTTGTTGCTATAATTGCCAGACAACCTATTAAAAAGTGGGCAAAAAACATGAACAGAAGCTTTTCAAAAGAAGATAGACAAATGGCCAATAAACATATTTAAAAATGCTCAATGTCCTTAATCATCAGGGAAATGCAAATTAAAACCATAATGAGAATATCACCTTACCCCTGTTAGAATAGCTCTTATTACAAAGTCCAAAAACAATAGTTGCTGGCATGGATCCAGAGAGATAGGAATGCTTATACACGGTTGGTGGAACTGCAGATTAGTACAACCCCTATGGAAAACAGTAAGGAGATTCCTGAAAGAACTAAAAGCAGACCCACCATTCAATCCAGCAATCCCACTACTGGGTAGATACCAAAAGAAGTCATTTTATCAAAAAGACAGGTAAACTTGAATGTTTTTTGCAACACAGTTCACAATTGCAAAGATGTGGAATCAGTCCAAGTGCTTATCAACTCATGAGTGGATTAACAAAATGTGGTGTATCTATACCATGGAGTACTACTCGGCCATAAAAGGATGAATTAATGCCATTTGTAATAATTTGGATGGAACTGGAGACCATTATCCCAAGTGGAGTATCTAAAAAATGGGGGGGAAAGAAAGCCCACTACTTGTATTCCTTATGAAATTGGAACTAACCGATGAGCTAACATGAGGGAAGTAAAACTTGGTGGCAATCAACCAGTGGGGAGGGGAAGGAGGGGATGGGCGAAAACCTACTTAATGGGTACAGTGAACACTATTTGAGTGATGGGCACACTTATAGCCTTGACTTAAACATTACAAAAGCAATCCATGTAACCAGTAACATTTGTACTCCATAATATTTTGAAATAAATTGATTTGAATAGTTTTTTTTAAAAAACACACTTTTTTATTGTGGATATATGGACAGATAGAGTGGGGTGTCCCAAAGAAAAGACGCCTTCCGAATGTGAGGCTTCCAGTGCTGGTGCCTCTAGTAGCCAGCTCAGCAGGTGGGGCAGGATGAGTTAGAATTAGTTTTCTTAACAGCCTCAACTGGCCACTCTCCAAATAATTGTGTTAAATGTGGCTGCCTGTGTTCTGTGGAGTAAGTCAGTAGCTGGCAATCCAGGAGGCTTTAGAGACTCTGAAAGCCACATGCCTATGGGGGAAAAGGGAGCATTTTTTTGGATTTGAGGCAGGTCATGGAAAATGTATATCTGAAAAAAATCACATGTGACTTAGATGACCATGGCACCACAGGCATCATAAAGCTTAAACTGCTTGTT